AGTTGTAAAAATCTTCAACCTCTAGAATTTGAGGAAAGAAGATTGAAAGGAAAATGACAACAACACCCGATTGAGGAAACTTAACTTGGTAACGAGTCAGACGAAAGGTTTAGACTTAAAATTTTTTTGTTGATTTTTTTTTTGTTCTGATTTTATTTTTAATTCTGATTTATTCTTTCGTTGTTATTTATTTGTTTCATTCGTTGAGGAATTTATTGTAGTTTTTTTGTTGTGAAATTTTGTTGTATTTAGTTATTTTTTATTTTATGACTTTTCTTTTGTTATATTTATTTGTTTAGTTAGTATTTAGACCCAGTTTCAGGCAAGTGTGACATTTGTGCTTTGTAGAACGAGGTTGTCTTTGAAATATCACGAGTCACAATGCTTCTTGAAATATCGTACACTGACTAAAGGCAAGTGTTAGAGAATAATCCACTCTTTAAGGTGCTATCGAAATTATATTCTTTCAAGTACCTATAAAGATGTGTTATCTCTAAGAACATCACAGTTGAAGAGGCCGCAACTTCGTAGCTTCGTTCGTAGTAGTTGTTGTTTGCTTTCTCACTGATTCTGTAAAAGTTGTTCAACTTATCTTTGAGAATAACTTTGACGTTCTTCGAGTTGCCATCGGAGTTGTATTTGCTGGGCGTCGAAAGATACAACTTAAGGTTGAATTTCCATTAAGTGCTACTATCATCTTCATTTCTTTAGTTCTTTTTTCCTGGTCCTAAGCATATTTCATAATTTTTGCTCATGTGATTAAAACTTTTTTTCATTGTCCAAATATATTTCCGAATCAATAAATAGTCGACCAAAAGACCCAAGATCTTTGAACTTTTTTTTGAATATAATATCTGAAAAATTTTCTTAAGAGAGTTTTCAAGTTTTATTGATCAGAGGAGAATTCAAACACCAATTTTTGATTATACGTCCATTTTGAGCTTCTTCTTAGGGAGACTCTTCTTTTGTTTTGATTTTTTGGATCAAGCTTTTCATCGAATCTTTTTCTTTTTTTTTCTTTTCCCCCAATTTTGCTGAGAATTATTATATCTGGTAGAACATAATTTAAGGATTTTGAATGTTTGAATTTAGACACCAATTTTTGATTTTATGCTCACCTCAAACTTCTCTCAGGGGACTTTCACACAAATTTTTTTTTTCGCTCCCTTTGTTTTTTTTGAGAATTACTATATTTGGTGAAACATATTTCTTTTAAGGATTTTGAATGCTCAAACTCCCTTGACTAATAATCCTCAAATATTTTTTAAGACAAATTCTGAGATATCATAACTCATTCAAAAGTCAGGACCCAATCACGTGGTTAGGCATAGGGAAGGAGGTAGAGTTAATGCTCTGTGTAAATTGAAGGGTTATGAAGGTTCAATGGTTTACAAGTATTTCCATGGGATGAGCAGTTGAGGAATTGTGGTTTCAGTTCTTATTAACAGAGTTTGAGCATTAATTTGGAGGGGGAAAGAGAGGCTTGGGGTATGTTTTGTAGGAGAGATGTTGGGGGTATATTTTTACATCAGTAAAATAAATATAATGAGTTTTTACAAATATTGTCATCTTATATTTGGATGCAAAATACATTTTTAATAAACATTGCATTTGTTCTAGAGGGTAGCATATAAAGCAGCTCTTTCACTCTGGCAGACCTACTCTTGCTAGGACGTGGAAACATTTTTTAGTGTGAAGGTTGGATTTGGTTGACCAATTCAACCCCACATGGTTTTGGCTGTGCTTGTATTTGTTGGTCTATATGAATGAGCATTTACTTAAGTTAAGGTTATTGGTGTAATTAAATTGTCATCATGGATGACACCGTTTACTAATTCTCTTCCGACTAGCAATCTTTCAACTTTTTCTTTCTCATCACCCAAAAAATCGGGTTAATGATTTGTTCTCGTCTTTTAAATCCTATCTTTTCTAGCCCTACCTCGAAACACAAACTGCGGGAGCAATTTTCAAAGCTTAGGTAGCGCTAGTCGAATTAGCTGATCTCTATACTATGAAATATGCAATGTGAAATCCAAGCTCTTCTTCCTATCTGTCTAGTGCCTGTTGACAGGCCTATTTAATGGTTTAACTAGAAAAGGTGAGTTAGAAATTCATTACTATCTTTTGAAGCAGAAGAGTGAACTATTCATTCATGCTCGCATGGTATGAAAGAAATCAGATTGTTCTTGTTCCGGATTGTATTCACCTTCTCACCCTTCCATTTTGATTGAGTTTTATTCACCTTCTCACCCTTCCATTTTGATTGAGTTTTGAAGGGGGATGCTCATTCTGCTTTTTTTTTTTAAAAAATGAATATCTTTCTTCGAAGTCATCATCTCATATCCGGGCAGTCAGCACAAAAAGAATGATTCTCCAATGAGGGGCAACTCTCTGTGATTCGATATGAGTTGAAACATAAAAGAGTTGATCCTATTGGTTCTTACATTTTTCTTTTGTTAAAAGGAAAAGGTCGTTTTCTTGTGCAAATGGAAAGGGAGGGACTAGGCTTCCTCCTTTTCCATTGCTTTGTCAGCGTAGTTTAACTTGAGGATTCCAGTTGGTCTATTTTCATGACGGAGAGTCGGCGCGTCGTGAAGTGAGGATTGGGGGGAGTAGAGCGAAATTGTCGTCAGAGGTATTTTGAAGGTCTAAAATTGGCAACGAAAGAAAGGCCCGATACTCAACTAGAGGAGCGACCTATTGGTTCCCCAAACCTCAACCCAACATCACACTTTCTCAAGGTCCGAAGGGATTGAGTGCCCAACTACCGACTTCTCTCTGAGTTGTGTTATCAGAGCCGAGCCAGGAATAGCAGTTAGTGGACACCTACCACTTCTCATCTGTGAGAGGCCCTCTTTAGGACATTCAAAAAAGATGTTCACAATGGAGAAAAAAACTCAGTCATGGGAACTTGTACCACTTAATGTGCTGGCAAATGAAAACCACCTCCTATCCAATGAATAAGCGCGACCCATTGAAAGTCTCAATGGGAAGGGCTGATAGGAAAATTTTGATCGAGATAATGGCCGCAGAACTATTGAAGATTAGTGACATCGTACGTGTTTTATGAAAACAAGTATTTGGATACCTAGGAATGGTATATATGCTGATGTCTTGGTTTTGTCACCACATTTATGCAGTAGGTCTAGATGTCGATTCAGTTTTGGTTTACAGTTGCTACAATGATTATTGTTGTACCAATTGGAATGGAAATCTTCTCATGACTAGCTACACTATACAGTGGATCGCTACGAATTATTACACTAATGCTATTTGCTCTGGATTTCTTTCTCTATTGACAATTGGAGGACTAACAGAATTAATTATAGTTAATGCTTCACGATACCTACTACTCAGTTGCACACTTCTACTATGCTCTACCAATGGGTGTTGCATTTGATATATACTGCATAGATGCGCCCTTCCTTTATGTTCTATTAATGGGTGATGTATATGCTTTATTTCCAACATTCTACTTCTTGACACAGGAAATCATTGGTAAACCTAGGCTATATACATTTCTTAAAAGTATATCTAGTACTACACCAAACATTATCGCAATCTCGACAAAATTACAATTGCAAACAAAGTCACACAAATATCTCTGGTAAGTCCATTTCCATCAACGTCCGGTGTGATCGAGGATATGTCTAGTGTTTCTTTCATCAATCATTCGGGTTTGAACTGTCACACTGAAATCTTGCTACAAATTGGATACGAGTTAGGCATCAATTGAAGATGAAAGAAGTAGGCCAGATTGCTGCTAAGGCAGACAAGCTGGCTTTGAAAAGGAATGAGATGAAGAGAGTTAACTTGTTAAGCAGCCCTTGTGGCTGCGGGGAACCAATCATTAATCAGGTCAAAGAAAACTTCTAAACATGAATCCTATGATCCCTAAATTTCACTCCTTGTAATATAATGAAAGCTGCTTCTGTCACTAGTGATAGGGCAAAGGGAGAAAGACATAGGAAAGAGGGATGCCTACTTTCAATCAATTGATTGACCATGGTAGAGAAGAAAAATGGCCTGCAAACTGTACTCGAGCTTTGGATCAATGTCCCTAAAAGCAAGGAGTATGCCCCTGTGTTTTGACAAGAACACCGAAAAACCCCTTTCCACGGAAAGAGGGATCCCTAGAAGCAAGGAGTATGCCCCTGCGTTTTTTTCTGTTCCATCTTGTTTGCCAATATTAAGATTAGCACTGCAAATCATTGGAACGAATTTATCTTTTCATATTTTATCCACTCTCTCATTATCTCTATACCTCCACTTACCTGACTCACCTCTGCCACTTTATTCATTCTTTTTCTCTCCGCACTGCCGTGATATTTCTTATTTCTACCCTTACACTTTACATCTTGTTTTCTTCTTCTTGCTATTCTGCCTCTTCCCCAACCACTGAAATTAGATGTGGCCATAATGCAGAACTTGTTGCAGGATCTCCACACTTTTAATGGGGCTGTTTTTTTTTTAATAATTTATGGGGCATTTACATACATAGCACAGAATTTTTATTTATGTGCATTTCTCACTCCTAAATTTTCATATTTACACATAACACTAAAATCTTTAATATCAAATAAAAAATAGCAACAATCACCACTTTTAAAAGTGAAACCCACCTTTTTCATGCATAGATTTAAAGCACCAAAGTGCCATGTATGTAATTTGAAAGTTTTGGTGTGAGATATGTGAATACACAAGAACTCTGCGCTAAGATATATATATATATAGATAGATAGATAGATAGTGGTGCTGTTTTATTCTGATTGTGCTTGAATACAGTAGCTCGTTTCAAACTTGAGTGAAGTAGGCTCACCATGCCAAAATCCAAATTGAGATGAAAAGGGCGGACCTTTCTTAATTATCTTGATTACTAAAATGTTTTATACAAGTGTTTCTTTTTGTACTATTGACAGCTTTATATGATAGACAAGTTTATTATAATTTCTGCTCATTTTTTTCTTCTTGGATTTATCCTGCTCATGTTTGCTGTTCAGAAAGCTTGATCAACTTCCCCAAAAGGAATTCTTCAATCCTACATTCTCAACAACCTCAGCCACAAAGCTCTCAACAAAACGCAGCTCAAAGTTCCAGCCAAAACGATCAGAACTCTTTAAATTTTCACGGAACAGCTCTGGTTTCCACTAATAACAGCGCACCAACAGTTCATAATTCCCTTAATACTCCATCAATTACTTCCACCTCTGGACCTTCTATCATCAGCCTTCTCCACCAGAATTCAATGAACTCCAGGCAAGAAAACATGATAAATGCCTCTAATAATAACATATATGGCAATGGAAATCCTGTCCAAATCCCTTCAGCCAGCTCTTCCAACTCCATGCCTCCATGCCAACCCAATCCCTCTTCTCCTTTCCCCCCAACTCCAACTTCCAACAACAATATGATTCCCAACACTCCCAACATGTCCGCAATGGCGCAGCAGCCTAGTCAACCCCGCGAACCCGATTTAACCGAGTCGCAGAACTCGGTGCAACAAATATTGCACGAAATTCGTATGTCTTCCCAGCTGAACGGTGCTGTTGGTGCCATGGCAAATGACATGAAGAGGATTAATTCTGTTGCCACGAGTCTAAATGGCGGCTACTGCTTAGTTGGTAACGGAATTGCCGGCAGTCTCACCGGCAATTCTGGCGTCGTCGGGTTTGGCGGTATGGGCGGGATTGGTTCGTCCATTACTCCGAGCGGAATGAAGGCAACCATGACGAATAACGCTTTGAACATCGACAACAGAGTTGGAATGAATCATTTGACTCAGCAGCAGCAGGATATGGAAAACCGGTTGCTTGGTGGACTTGGATCTGTTAACAGTTTCAGTAACATGCAGTTTGATTGGAAACCATCTCCATGAGAAGTAATTTGCTCTGTAAATTGATGATTACTTTGTATTCATAATCACCAGCAGATATAGTCCTGATATCAAAATCTGGAACCAGCTTAACTTCAGGCCTTAAAACGTGGCGAAGAAGATTAGTCTATGTTGGTTTGCTAATTTATCAGAACGAGAAGGAGATCTCTTCATCTTCACAGCTCTCAGTGGTTGAAAAATACAAGCTTTATACTGCATTGAATCTTTCCTATAGGAGGCTAAATTATAGCCGTTGGCTATTTGGGGAGAGTTTGTTTATAGAAGAGGGAAGTAGAAAGCTGCATCTTCTGTTAACTGTGATATGGGCTTTATTATGACAGAAAAAGCAACCAAAAAAAAAAAAAAAGTTGGTCTGATCAATCTTCTAGGATTTTGTAAACTATAATTCCTGACTATAGTTTTGTTATGATTTGTATTTAGCTGAATATGTGAAAGAATTTATAACAGGTGAGTGCGTCGAGTGTGGTTATTGTTGATTCTACTTGCTTGAAATGCTTGCACTGTATTTGTACTTGTCTGCATAGATGTTATAGTAGAGAAAATGAATGACGAAGCTTAGAAATGTTTAAATTCTGAAGGAATTACTTCAAAAGTTCAAAAAGATGGATAAAATATGGAAAAAAAAAAACAAAAATCAGATGCCATTCTCTGCATGAAAAGTTGTTTATACAGCAGCAGATGTTGTACATTTTATGTTTTTTTTCTTTGTTGTGTTCTATATTTGGAAGTATTTGTTGGCTTCAATATAAATGTGATGTGTAGAGGCATTTACATATATGCTACACAATTTCTGTATTTACATATCTAAATTTTGATTTTCATATTTATATCACTTTAGTCAGTCTTATCAACTGTAATTTAGTTGTGTTATTACATATGTAAATACATGGGAATTGTATGGTGTTTATATAATATTGTTGTTGTAACTTTGAAAAAATGGTGCATGTTGTTTTCATGATGTTAAATATGTATATATGGCATGCAAAATTATTTTTTCATCATCAGTTAGACTTCTATTTGGTATCAAAAACAGTAATGTTTTTTTCTATCTGATAAATAGATGTATTTACAAAGTCATGCTTGGGAAAAACATAATATATCAAAACCAACCTTAGAATTTAGGCGTCTCAAATACTCTATTCGGTGCCAGCAGCCTGTTTTTTGTTGCTGTGCGGGGACAAAGTGGGTGGCCGTTTTGTCGCCTTAAAATTTAGTGTTTCAAGAATCCCTCATCAATGAATTTAAGGGTGTTAAAATATTTTTGGCATGGTGAGTATATATATATATATAATAGAATGACCGAAGGCTATGAGGCGAGCCCTCAATCATCTTCATGTGCCTAACCACTTGATCTCACGCTGCAAAACAGCTGTACTCAAACGGGCTCGAACTTGTGACCTTAGAGGGTTTAGAACTGCTTCACAGATTTCAACCAAAGAGTCGTGGTGAGTGGCACCTAGTGTCACCTAGTTTCTCTTACATTGCGGCAATGGAGTAGAAATTATTAAGTTAGCCAATATGATTTTATATTAAAGCTCATTCTTTATTTAAATAGAAATTACTTTATAGCACATGAAGGGAACAAGAGACCAAGCTTTCATAATTTGCTTGCATGGATAATTATTACTTTGCTTAAATTGAAGATATTTTCTTATGAAGCATCCAAAAGTTTGTCCTTTGTACATGTTACTATAAAGGAAAAAAAAAAGACATGGAGGGAGTCATTTCATGTAATGTATTTATGGTGATATAAGTTATTATTATTATTATTATTAATCCATATTTTCATGAAAATATGGATTATCTTTTCATGATAAAATAATACTTATATTCCTCTCATGCATTTTGATGATTTAGCACTTTGATTACTAACCTATTAGTCAACATCATTACACTTTATAATGATTTGTCTTAGTATGTTCAAGATTAGTTGTTTCCAAAGAATAATAGAATGCATAGGAATGATTTTTAATCATACAAAAATTATAGAGGGAGATGGGTTTACGATTTTGGTATAAAATTTATTAGTGAAATTACTCAAAGTTATTGTAATTATATCTCTTAAAAATAATGTAAGTGCTTGTATAATGCTTGCTAGAGAAGGCCTAAAATATGATGATATAAATTTGGAGGTGAAGGAGAGAGTATTCACGATAGTGACGAGTAATAAGCATTGTTTTTAAATAAGAGCGGACATGCAAGTTCTACTAGTTTGACTGTGAATTGGTCATTTAGTCGATTCAGTCGAAGCTCAAAATTATTTCTGCATAGAATCAAGATTGAGCTTATCAGAAATGGGGTTAAACCCACAAACTGGTGAATCTGTCTAATTTCTAAAGATTTCATTGGTTCAAATAATATAGAATTGTAGCCTTTAAGATATTTACTTTTAAAAAAGAGAAGATGTCATGCCTTAAAGTATTGATGTTATCTCATATTAAATTATTATTTATTGAATTGATAAATGAGATATTAATATATCATTATTCTATTATTTAAATTCTATTGAATAAATTTAAATATTTATTACGTCATATAATTAAATGAAACTTGAAGACTTCCTTCTCCGGTTCGATGGCAGGTTTGAATTTTACAACTTTGGCCATAACTACCATTAGAAAGTATAATAAAAAGAGTTTAGAGTTATTACTATCTTATAGTTCTCTTTAATTATCTCTAATCCAAGTAAAAATATAAATAATTGGCATATATGTGTGATGACACTTAAGATGTAAATTTAAACATTATAAGCTATCTTGAATCAGCTACTAGAATTCATGTAGCAACAATAGATATATTAAGTGCTACCAAGCTGACATGAGGTAATATCCTTAGTTGTTTTTTTGAACACTTTCGTTTTTTTAAAAGAAAAGTTTATTATATTTTTCTAGAAATCAATAGATGTGTTACATATGTGTCGATATAAATAGAAAACATTATTGCATAAACTATGATCTCTCTTAGGGTTGTCAAACACCCAAATACCACAAAATAAATGTTGATACAATAAGAACACACACTACTTAAACATCTATGTTTCATTCTATCCAATTTGAGCATAAGAAATAAATATGCATCCCAATCTATCATTTTAAAGTTCTTTATATTTTTGCTATAATGATGGTTAATTTAGCCATTATTATTAAAAAATATGTTGATTATTGTTTCCTTTGAAAAATATATCGATGATTTCTCGTCATAATAGATGAAAGTTTGTGTAACCAACATAGTCTAGTGGTTGAGTGTTTTCTTTCTTAAATTTAAGGCTTTGACTTTAAGGCCTAAAATATAAGAGTGTGTATGAAAGTTAAAAAAAAAAAAAAAAAGATGATAAGCAAGCGAACATATATATCAAAGTATATATGACGCACGAGCATCACCCCAAGGATTCCACGATCCCGTTTCAACGGTCCATAAGTTACGCGGGATCACGAGAAGCCCGCGATCGCATGAATTAGAGTATGGACCAACTTCTAATTTAGGATTTTTTTCTTTACAAATTTTTTTCCCTTTTTTCTATTTATTATTAGTTTATTTTTTGTGAGTAAACTATTATATATTGTTATTTCTTTATTTCTTAAAACTTTTGCTTTATTTTGAATATATGGAGATTGTATTATCTTTTTTTTTGCATTAGGAGTGTTGTATTATACTCCCTTTGCAAGTGGTGTATAACTTGTTTATGAACAGGTAGTGAAAGCTCTTAGCCTCCCAAACATCTCTGATTTGGAGTTCCTTTTGCTACTTTCATTCGGGACAACCACCTTAAAACACTTATCCCCTTCCAAATGAAATTGACCTCACATATTTTCGTTCCCTCGCTATTTCATAGCCACTTCTCCACTAAATCTTCTTTTTGAACACCTTCTAAGAGCACTAGAAGTATCATTTTATATTGGAGTCTGAAAAACCCTAAAATTTAAGAAATTTGCCTTTCTTTTCCAAATCCAAAGTTCTAAAAAAGCAATCTTCACCATGCATAAATCATTTATACCGTAGTTCCTAGGCCCAACCTTGTATTCCCAAAATCCAACATTTCTACTTCACCAGTTTCACCATGTTGCCTACAACTAAAATATAAGCCCTGGACTAACATTGATGTGTAAACTTGCATCTGTTGAAAACTTGATCAGGAAAAAAGTACGCCGTGCCACCAAGGAGAAATCCTTAGCAATGTGCCAGAAACTTATTATTAAGGAAATGCAAAAAAAAATTATTCAACTACAATAGAAGCTTGTCACTTTTGGGAGGAGATAATATGGTGTTGTCACCTGTAGCCACAACCATTGCCGGATCAAGGGGAGGAAGTTAATCCCTTCCATCATAAAGCTTTTTAGCGAAGAACCAATATCCTGACTATTTGACATGGAATATTAAAGAGAAGCCAAAATCTTAAAATAAAGGTGAATTTATCCAATTTTTATGGTTGCAGTATCCAGATGAGTTTATGTAGTGGCTTCAAGTGGTTAAATGAATTTTTGAGTACAAAGATGTTCCACAGGGCAAACGAGTTAAAGTGAAAGCTATGGAGTTTCATGAAGAAAACTTTTTTGTAATGGGAGAACTTGAAGTGTATTTGATAGCGGGAGAACTTGAAGTATCCTTTTTATTCTAGGGTATTCTAAGCTATGGAGTTCATTTTATGCGCCCAACTGAGTAAAAGGAATGAGAGAAGCATTTTATAGATTTACTGACTCAAAGTTTGGTTCGTGAGAAAACCCATCCATGTGTAGTTTTAGCTTAGGTTGCCCTAAAAAAGGATGACTAACTATGATATCAGGATAGACTTTAGATTGATATATGTATTTAGACTTGCATAAAATGAATGTGAGTAAAGAATTTGTAGTGAGACTGCATTCAACAAAATAATGCGATGACTTTGTTAAGATGGTAGTAGATCAATTACAGAAGCTTCTTGAGAAGAAGAAGCCTCTACTATCCTATGAGAATGATGCAGAAGCGCTATGCTAGGAAACCCACAATCCCATTTTTGTAGGATTCCGTCACAAGTTTCGTGAGATCACGAGAAGCCTACGATGCGGGAAATAAAGTAGAGGTGTTGACTTATAATTTAGCATATTTATTTACTTTTTTTATTTCTTTTCTATTTTTATATTTCTAAATATGTTATTTTATGTGAAGGAACTAATTATATCTTATTATTTTTTATTCTTTTAAAACTTTTCGCTTTGTTTCGAGTATATAAAGATTGTAATCTCTAATTTCAAATTCACGAGTGTTGTATCCTATACTTTTTGCAAGTCGTGTGTCTGCATATTTCTCAGAAACAGGTGGGGAAGCCTCTTCGCCGCCGCTTGAACATTTCCAATTCCGAGTTATCTTTACTGTTTTTAGCCTAGACAAACGTCGGATGACGCTAGTCCCCTTCCAAACACCAACGACCTCACATATTTTCATTCCCCCGCTATTTCACAACCACTGTCCCCTCTAAATCATCTTCCTTAACACGTTCTAAGGGCTCTAGAAAAATATCAATACATGTTCATAGTTGGTCGTCATTGTTCAGTTTTTTTTAATATAAAAAATTGTTATATATGCCACTAAATAAATTTTGTTTGAATAATGTCAGTAAAATATTCAAATATTATATAAGCTTATATTTTCTAAGGATCAATGATTGTATTTGAGAATATTATCCCAAGAATATCATCTTGATTTAAAAATGTCAATTTATTACAAATTTTATTAGGATAAAAAATATGCACAAAATTAAAATAATTGCAAAAAAAAAAAAAAAGAAACAAAAACAAAAACTAGTGATGGTCATCACAGATCTAAACTATATAACTGCAACAATTATAACAACTAAAATATATAGAATAGATTAGAGGATGACCCGGTGGTTAGACAGTTTCATTTACTACTATAATAGTTATATAAGATATTATTGCTGCAAAAGAAACTAATTTCACAATTATAGACACTTTTCAGTGATTTTAATCAATACATATAGATCAGTGGTTAATTAACTAATGTTTATTTCACATAAGAAGAAGCAACAATTTCTCACAAAAATGTCTTCTAAACTCCATAATCATGCACTGAACATTCTCAAACTCTAGATTCAATTAAAACCCATCATAAAATCTCCAAACATCACATCAGTTTCATAAACACTTTCCTTCCAAAACCAGCACCACAATGCTCAGATCACAGAAAGTAAGCTTTGTAGAAGAAAACAAAGAGCTATTATAACCATAATGCAGTTAATAATCATTCTATGTTCTCTGTACTGAGACTTCACCTCCATTCAAATATAACAACTTACACCTGCTCTTTTTCGGCTTCCTCATTCTTCTTCTTCTTCTCCTTCTCCTTCTCTTTGCTATATCTTGGCGGCGCTCCCCCCCCCCGCCGATCTCAATGGCCTTGCTCTTCAGAGCGGCGGCCTTGAGATCGGCGGCGGCATGATCTTTTTCTCCCCTGTTGTTTCTGTAAATCATGTACAGTATCAGCTGCACTGCACCAAGTGCACTTCCACAACCATTTGGTATCTGATGCCATAGAGTATAACATATTAGCATGAATATACACATTCCACTTATATTCACATTTTTAGAACTTAAAATGGTGGTATTTTTTATGTGATATGAAAGATTTAAGTGTATAAATGTAAAAAACAAAACTTAGTAGTACTTAAATGCTCACAATGATGAAAAGATCGCGGCCTAGCAAACCGTAGATAAACCATGATGTTCCACACAAGAATACAAATAGAGATAGAAAGAATGGCATGAACTCCACACTCTTTGTCTTGATCACAAGCCTCTGCAGCATAAGGTATTTATGTAAATAATCAGCATAAAAAGTCTATTTAAGAAATTGTTTATATATATATATATATATATATATATTTTTTT